TCTTATGGAAGTAATTCCTCAATGAGCCGTCTGCAAAAGCCAGAGGAGCCCATCACATGAAAGTGTCGCTTCTGCGTCAATGCCATAACAAAGCTGAAACTCACTTTGCGACAAATTCCTTCCCGCTTCAAGGTTCTGCAAATTTGCAACAACCAACCAACATCGACCAACTATCAGTTAACACATGTTAACACCCACGCAGCACCAACTTCCATGCCAGCTGCTTGACCCAGCCATTCCCCGCACATGTCCACACTTTGGTCCATCCACGCTCAGCTCTTCTGACTCTGGCTCCCCACTTTTGGCAAACGATACGAGAGCCCAAGCATAGAACAGACTTTTGTGAATACAACCACCCTCCCCAAAAAAAAGAAAGTGGTTTAATGCCCACAGTTAGGAGAAGCGTCGATCATCAACTCCACGGAGAGTACCCCAGAAGAAGAGGCGGCCAGGCTCTACCAAGAGGAGCTCCTCGCTGAATGCTGAACACGCTGTAAATCGAATATCTTCGAATATCTTTAATGATCTCCGTAAGATGGTGCAAAAGTTGGATCCGTTGGATCTTGGTCCTCTTTGTAGTAGATGCGGCTGGAAAACCATGCTGCCACGCTTTCGGTGGACGGCCCTCTGGCACTGCCACGGATTGTTACATTGACGCCTCCATGGCCATATTCACTGCAAAACACCGCAAGAAGAACCATCCAATACCATTGAACAGTAGCTGTCAAGAGTTGCGCATTGTGACAAACCCTGAACTGAACCACTGGCAGTGAAGAATGCATTAATTGACGCTATCGTTTATATCTTGTGAAGTCTTTTACCAATGCCTAGGCCTGGTCCGGGCGGCGGTCTGAGAAAAGTGGCACTCTCTTCCTCGACATCGGTAGCATCTGGGTCCTCCATCGTTGAAACCGCATCAAGCAGCGCACCGCAGAGAACCAACTCTCGAGCCAGGCTCCAGAAGAAATGATGAGACATGTGCACTTGAGACATCACAATCTGCATGAAATGTTCACCCTTTACTTTGTTATATACTTCGCAGAATGCGGAAATCTTGTGAAATCTTCCTAGATGTCCTCTGATGTCCTCTTATGTCCTGATTGTTCTGACAAAGCTCCACGCATCTGCCGAGAAAGCCCGTGGCTGTCGGCGTCTGCTAGCAGCTCCGCGGACCGATGGGATTGCCTTCTCAAGTTGTTTCTTGACTTAAATCGGCGAAGCAAGTGGGAATTGCAATATCTTGCAATGTATCCAACGGCACTGGCTAAGATGGATGTTGATGATGCTATGTGATCTTGATGTTGATGAGGAAATTCTATGACAAATCATCACATCTCAGCAATGACAGCCTCCGGAGGAGGAGCCCACGCAGCTGAACGGCATGTTGGACAAGACCTCAGCGGTATTTAGGCAAGGCTGCGATGCAATTAGAGATTCTTGGAAGCAAATGTCGTCAGCAAATGTTCAATATGTTCAATGAAAATGTCCAAAGGTTTGGTTTTCGATTCCACTGAAGTTTTATCTCATTTCACTGAGACTCTCGCTGACGCAGTCGTAGCCAACCTCTGGCACAGTCCTGTCATCGCCAGCCCAGACTTTCCAACTGCCAACTTATCCAACTTTACCTCCAGCATCATGTTCATCTATAATTATATATCTATATCTAAGTCTCTCTCTCTCTATATATACATACTGTATATATATATGTGTGTGTGTGTCTGTGTGTGTGTGTTTATTTCTATTTGAATATCATTGAATATCATTGAATATCCATACAGAAACCAAGTCGACGATGAGGAGGCAACATGGCTTGACAGAGTCGAAAAATGTCAGAAGAATCAATGTCCAAAACCTGCGATGCAAATCTCCTCGGTGTCATGCAACTTGTGGTTGCACACTGGGCACTGCCAGGCAGGCTCGTCTGCACGGATGTCGTCCATGCACCTGAGACAAGAAGTATGTCCAACACAATTCCGCCAACAAAAAGCGAAACAATTGATCCGTTATCCGGTTGGCTGGTCTAGTGTGCACACAGTACAGGACATTCCTTAAAGATTTGAGGTTTCCTCAGATACCACCTATCCACAGATTCCACGGATTCCACAGATTCTACTGGGACAACAATTGCCACAATGCTGACATTCTGAGGAATGTAGAGGTAGAGGTCTGAAATGGGTTCGCCTTTCCAACCTGACATCATTCGTCATTGTTTCACTTGATATTATCATATATCATACTATATCGCATCATATAATATATAAATATACATACATATAATATAATATATATATTATCATATCAGCCTAACGCGCTATGATGCGCTGTGCACATGTTCATTTTCGCCAGCGAATTGTTACAAGTTGGCTCAGAGTCTCCTGTGGTCTCGGTTGCTGTTCTCTCAGCTTGAAGCTGCACATGCCAAAGCTGGACATGCACGAAGGCCTCTGACAGAAGCATTGAGCTCTAAGTTTACACCAATGATGTTCTACCAGTCTTTAAATTCAATGTTATTCACTTATTCAATGATATCATATCATATCATATCTCACCTTCTCACCCCTGTGGTCATCCACATATCTGACTCACATCCGTGCTAACAGCATCTAACAGCATCTAATACCCCTCATGTCATGACGGCTATTGTGGCTGTTACAACAGTAATCAACAGTAGAGCTCGTAAACAGGAGTTCTGATGAGCTAAGTTCAGGATTTGCGGTTCGCGGCATCTCTACTTGGAGATGGCAAATCCCGCTATGGCTGGATCTGCGTCGGCATGGCGAACCTTTGCCCGCCATGACAACTGAAACGCATCCGCCCAGGCGAAAGCTGTGAAAGCCGCGCCCAGCCCATCAGCTGCCATCTCCACTGCCATCGCAAGTAGCACCAGTGACCATTGATGTCACTGATACCTTCTGGGCCAAGTGTCGCAAACCCTTTGAAACCAAACCCAATGGACCAGAAAAACGGAAACTTCCCCTAGTAGTTCTGGAGACATGTCGCGGTGTTGTAGGCCTATAGCTTTGCGGATCCCTACGGCATTTTGGGATATGTATGGACTGTATGGATATGTTGGGCTTGACATACCTTGACACCAGGCACGGCCAGCAGAAATCGTGAACCCTTGGGGCGGCAAAATTCTGCATGGCTGTGCACAATGGTGTGGAAGATTGCCACAGACGCCTCATGAAGGCGCGGGGTGAAACTGTGGATCCCACCGCCAAAGCTCTGAGAATTGGCTCGTTGGACAGAAGTTCCAGGTTGGGATGCATCCAGTGAGATTCTCTATATGATTCTCTATAAGATTCTCTATATGATTCTCTATATGATTCTCTATGTCTCTATCATCTGTTGCCCTTTCGCGAATGGTCAGCAACACAATGTGACTTTGGCGACACGAAGCCTGGAGCACTGCAGCTTTTTGTTCAGTGTCTGACTGGGCCCTGTGACCTGTAGATGGATTCTGTAGCAACTTCAAGAATGGAAATTAAAAAAAAAAACGTCTTGTTGGGTTGTCAGACAGGAACGGCAGGCATCCAAACCATCCAAACACTTTTATACGTCTGAAGCCGTTCACTTTCCTCGCATAGCTTTCAGCGATGCTGGTTGCCCTGAATCACCTGCGCCGAAGATTTCTCGACTCCGGGCTATGGACGGCTATGGATGGCTAGGGATGATTTGTTGACACTTTGTGTGCGAGGGTGGTATTTGGAGCGGATGCGCTTAATAAATGGCTATGGATGCAATAAGTCTAGAGCTCTGCCCTTAACCCCTTAGGACGCTGGCTTGGAAAAGCATCCGAGAATGAATGAAATGAGCCAACAAATGCCAACAATCTATCCTAGTATATGTATGTATAATTATAGAATATAAATATCATAATGGATCCCATAATGGTATACTATCATATACAGTAAATTCATATAATATGATATTATGCAACATTGTGCAACGGTGGCATCGGCTGGGCATGTCTTGATATCCAGCATCAAAGCTGTCCAAGTCACGAAGGTGTCACTTCTTTCCCTTGACCGGCTTCAAGACCTGATTTCGCAGCACTGCCACGGCTACGAACTGCTTGGCTGGTCGGCCGTGTCGGTGTGGCCGCTTCGTGCACAGTGCAGGCTTTTATTTTGAAGTGACTTCAGAAGCGCAAGAATGAACTGCACTGAACAGGTTCGCTTTAAAATGTTTCAAGTAGCATGTTCATGCCGCACGTGACGTGCTCAAGATGGATTATACGGAACTTGACCCTGCACACCCACGGAAGCAGAAATTAAAGACTTGGCATGTTGCCTGCTATCCTGTTCCCTGCACCTTGAAGCTGCACATGAGAGTTTCATCAATGCTCATCATCCTTGGGGCAAAGGTTATGTCGGTTGTGCAAGGAGAAACCACAGGAGTGATCGCAGTCAACTCATGATTTGCTTCGCATTTGTCTGCAGCATCTGTTCAATTATGAAGCTGCTCGTAAGGCAAGCCACGCCCCAGCATTGTCAAACTCGCCACAGTAGTTCCTCAACGGCCATTTGAGGAGAATCCTTGCAAATACACCCCAGACTAGCTCTACTCTGCTTTCTTTCCTTATTATGCGTATTCAACTATGTAATTCAGTTTCGTTTCAACAGGGCGTGCTAGCATGGAAAAGCCGCACGTTCATATCCAAACTGGATTGACATGAAATTTGAAGCGGCAATGCAGCTGGATAAACTTTGTTGCCATTTATGAAGAATGGATCTGCCGGACATTTAAACTCAGCAGCCGATCATCTCGATATGTGTTCTTACAATTTACTAGCGTTAGATAGCGTTAGTTGTACAATCATGATGATAATGTATTGTCCAGAGCCACCTCCACATATTGCCAGTTGTTGGGATATCATTGATATCATGGGATCACTTCAGTAAAGGTACAGGGTGAGTGATGTGGGTCTCAAGTTATGATCGTTTCTGTTTGTTTGTTTTCCCTGGCTGCAGCATTCACATCTGGGCTCCATCTGCGGCTTACGATGGCAGTGTGACGGCATGGACTGGAAACATTGCCATATTTCCCAGATTTGAGCCTCTCCCAAAATAAGAAATTTGTAGAAATTTGTTATTCAGCATATTCAGCCTCAGCACTGATGAACCAACCAATTCTTGGGAGGGCGCTGTCGAGAAATTTGGGGCAGTTCTTGATTCGATTGCTCTTTTCTTGCCAGGCTGCGGAGCACTGAAGAGGGTGATGAGCTGGCGTTTTGCAAAGAATTCATAGCCATCCTCCACGACCTCGGCTCACAAATGGCTTACAAACCATGGCATTTCGGTAATTTGTTGATGTTTTTGAGCGTCAGAATGAAGCTGGATTTTTGTTGAAGGCCAAGCTACCTGATGGGCTCGGCAAACCAAGTCCATCTCATGCTTCCTGAGATGCGCGCTTGACGTCACTTTGGTTACAGTCTTGGCATGTCTTGGCTGAGGATATCTCAGGATGGACCAGAAGGGCTCTCGCATGCTCTCACGCTTGACACTTGGACGTATGTGCCAGCAGTACAGTCTCTGAATCGGAAGGCAAGTATCTGCAAGAAGGTCGAGACAACATCCGGTCCAAAAATAAAAGAGACACCACGGTCGTTCTCGGCCCAGCCTGCAATGTCCTGTGGCATATGCATGACAAAAACAAAATTTTGAGAAAAGCTCCTAACAAGCTCTAGCCATCTCTGGCCTCTAAAGGCTACGCACTGACTACTGAATACCGGGAGTATCCTGACTCGACTCCACTTCCAAAGCATCACAATGCGCTCCTTGTCTGGGTCTGCCCACAGGAGATCACAAATAAGACCGGTGTCAGGCACGTCAGTCGGCCTCGAAGTTCGAGGCAAAAACATCTCGTAGGACGTCGTACGAGATTCATGGAGATTCTGAGCATATTGTGTTATATATGTTATATATTGTTGTGTGGGTATTCTGTACCGTTTCTCGGCTGCAAGTTAATGCAAACAATTTTCAATGGTGTATTCAAGTGATTCCAACAATTGAAATGCCAGCCTCACCAATCTCTTGATCTGGTCTGTAGTAGTGATCTCCGGAGACAGTCCACCTTTCATTTGGCCAGATAGCCACATAGCCAGTAAGCCGAAACTCACTGCTGCATTGCTGCATTGCATCTTGGTGTTTCTACCAAGTAGCCGTGCATGCAAATGATCTTCTCATCAATAAGGGCACATACAGGCATGCAATTGAAGACATCGCAGAATTGCTTCCATAGCCTAGGAAGCAAAATACGATTTGTTCAAATCCCTTGTTGAGCAAGAATGATCTGCGCAAGCACTTGAGCATCACATCCAGCACTAAAACCTATCCAAACGTGCTAAAACATGCCAAAACCATGTCCTAATATGTACTAATCTGGTGATGCAGTGATGTCTATTAACATCTATTAACTGTTTTACGGATTTTTACGGTTGTATCAAGTTGTATCTCAAATGTGTGCCTTCCCTTCTGGGACTTTGTTCGCCCCAAGGTGCTTGATATTGTAGCGTCGCTTGCACTCATCATAGAAGCCTTGTGGTTGCGTGGCTGCTGGTTAGAAAGTTAGACCCCCCTCCAAATTGATGCAAATCTTAACAAAACACTTGAGAGTGGATTTGTGATGATTTGTGCACTCCATTCATTTAAAACATGCTACATCTCTGGACCCTGTGCTGTATCAAATAAACTCATTACCTGCTAGAACTTGCAAGTTCATGCTGTGCAGAGCTGTAATATGCTGTAATAGCAAGACCAAGCGACCGTAGATTCGAGTGATGGAAGCGCACTCATGGTTTCCACGCAGGAGGAAGAAGTTCTCTGGGAACTTGACCTTGCGGAAGGTCACAAATGTATACAAATGTATACAAGTGTCACAGTGTCACAAACATAATGAGTGGCAACAAACGAAGTGTCATTCGCCAAGAGTGATTCTGCAGCGCTCTGTTCGCCGCATTGGCCCACCTTGTACGAAAAAAGCAGGATGATGGTCTCAAGGCTCTGTTTGCCTCGATCCACGTAGTCGCCCAGGAAGAGATAATTGCTCTCCTCGGAGTGCCACTGATTCAGGAACAATCGCATGCAGCGTGCATCAAAGCAGAATCAGAAGGCACATCATATAAGAAAATGTAAAACTACCTATGGATAAACGATGATAAACGTATGGGGAGGAAAAAAATGACGAGGAACTGGAGGGAAGCCGCCGTACTCAAAAAGCCGAAGCAAGTCATGATACTGCCCGTGCACATCTCCACCTCGGGTCTCACAACATTCAGCATGAGAACATATGAGAACAGGGACAGCTATGAACAGCTATGAAGTCCGGAATTGTTCTGGTTCTGTAGATTCTGTTGCGTTCTATTCGAGATTGCCCCTTTGATCACCTTTATACATCTTTATGCAGTATACATTTTTGCTGGTCAAGCTGCAAATCTTCAGAGGGGCTTCCAACTCCAGCAGTGCCTCAGAAGAGCGATCACATTGCAGCGCACACCTCTGCCGAAAATTGCGAATGAGGCCACCATAGGCGACCTGTAACAATATCACACTAGCCTCACTAGCAAACACTAGCCTACTGGCATCCCAGGAATGGCATCACATGTGTCAAAACAGAAAAAGTAACACTAGCCTTTTATTTTCTTTTAGGCATCTCTGCATATTCGCCACCAGGGAAGGCCTTCCACTGAAATGGTTGAGATACGATATATAGTTGCTACATGTTGCTATAGTATTGTTAGTCTGTTAGTTGCTCCCTTCTGCCCCACTTCCAGCTAGAAATGTTACTGCTATGCTACTGCTACCTGCTGCTTGAACCGTGGTCCAAACTGAGGCTGAGCTTTGGATGTTCGCACCAGCGATATCGGTGAACGGGTGTTAAATGACCCTTAAACCGGTGCGGCATCCACAGCAGGGCACCACTGACACTACTGCTGAATGACCAAGAAATACGCAAAAATCAACTCCAAAAACTGACAATACTTGCGCCCTGTCGTGCTCAAGAAAATGAGAGAACCCGCCTGTCCGCTTTCCGCCAAAGCATTTCCATCATCGTATCATCCCATCATATCCCATCCCAAACTCGGTCTTATATCAGCTGAGTTGCATTTTGCTCCAGAAAGACAATACGGGCAGCGCTGCACAGGCCCTTGACTTGTGCTTCTGGAATGTTCACCAGCTTCCCGGGCTTGCCTCTCAGGCGAATCGCAAAAATCTACAGTAATGGGATCTATATATAATATTATATAATGGGATCTAATGAACTTACATGATCATCCATGGCTGAGCTTTCACCTGTATATGTAAGTAATTCTATGTAATTCCGTGCGCGCGTCGAAATGCTGCAAAATGCTGCAAAAGGAAGGGTCTGTGCAGTCTGCGGCCTCCTTTCACCTCCAAGCACTTGTCAACAATCTCCTGGGCCGAAAGAATAGCAAAAGCAAGACGATTTAAGCTCAACCAAGAATTCCCCGTGTCAACGCAAAATCACCACGGACAGGAGTCCAACTATGAAGGTCCAAGCTTCATCAATCTCGACAGCTCCCTCTGCCTTCTTCATGGCTTGCAAGGAGAACCAACTGCTTACCCCACAAAAACTTGCTTGGGCCAAGCTCTTCAAAACACCACTCGATGGTGATGTGACATGCAAAGTACATGGATCCGTGTCTTGTTCATTCTTTGGCATGGAAGTGGATCTATGATGATCTATGCCTGTTACACTTTTCCAAGGGTCACGAGCGGCCCTAAATTGTATCACTGGGGCCCTGAACACTGCACACTGAGTCACCTGCCGGGCTGTGAGGGCCATGCACAAGATCGAGCCATTCACATTCCAAAACTGCCTGTATGACTCCTATACGGTCTCGAAAATCAGTCAAGCAGTGCAGTGGCAGCGTCCATCTGCGGTTTCCCACCTCATCATGTAGAAGGACAGGTTGTCGATCGAAACTGTCTGCCGGGGCGGTGTCCTTCCATGATCTGTTGGTGCGTCAATCATTACATCGCATACGCAGCCCCGCTACCCCGCGTTCCCCTGCGCCTCATCCTCGGGAACCCATTCTGGCTCGTCCACCTGCAATGCTATAAGGCTCTTTGAAGAAATCTGTACTGCAGGGGCCTGAAGTACAATATGTACCAAATTGATCTAAATTTACCTATATGATACTGTATGGGCCGCATGGGGCAGAAAAAAAGAAAAGCTCAGCGCCCCCTTTGGAGTCCTTTATGGTATTACGGTACCATGATCACCCACGTCGCACGCTTCTCTGCTTGGTCGGTCTTGACTCTGCAGAGCAGCTTCACGGCATTTCTTAGGAGGGCTTGACTTTAGGCCAAAGGGATGAAGGAGACCAATCTAGTCGGACAAGGAGAGATGTGTATCGAGAGAATACTGTACATGGCGCGACCTTCTTTGTGCCAATTTTTGAGCTTAAAATTGGGAACATCAGCTTCAAAAGTTCCGCAGCTTTCAGCATAAAGACTACTCCACCATGCACCAGCCCAACAAAAACATCTAACACTACCCCGCAAATACATCGAACAAACTACTCTCCTACTCGGAATTACACAGTCCATATCATGTCCTCATCCAATTGCTGTGGATACAGCCGACAAACCATAATCAGTATGCCACATTGCAATGCCAAACGTCAATGTCTTCTGGTTCTACTATGTTGTATAGTCTGTGTCGGTCCGTGTCTGGTCGAAGATAGGTCGCCAGTATACACTAAAATGGAAAATCGGGATGGACGCAGCGGGATTCGAACCCAAAGGGGGGTACAGCTCGAAATGATAAATGATGGCGAACAGGGGTGCCCCAAAACCAGTTCCACATGATCATGGCGTCTTCATCCAATCTGCCCTCAATACATTTTGCTAAAGCAAAGCTGACTCCAGCTAAGCAAGCTATAGCAAAGCTAGCTTTCGTGACATGGAGCTGGTTCACCAGCTAAGTTGCCCACATTGAGGGCTCTGCATGCTTCTGCACGTGTGACTCTGTCCTGCGGCAAAGCACACAGGATAATCATGGGTCATCCAAGACCAGCCAGCCCCGCTCAAGATGTTGGCGAATAGGGTTTACCCACCCAGGACACAAATAATGAGCTGCAAGCTGCACAGGCTGACGAAAACATTTCTTCCATCCCGCTACAGCTCTACTGGCCCGGCTTGGTGCCCGATGATGTACCAAATGCCACCTGGCACGGACCATCTTCAATGAGAAGTTCACAGCAGCAGGACAAGCAGCTGCACACATTAGCATACAAGTAGAAAATATAGAAATGAAGCAAGCATCTGACCATCTGGGAACCTTCGCCGCGAGCAAAGGTGTTCGTGGCTTCGTGGGTGCCTCCATCGCTGGTTTCCTTGTGGTGAAAATGGTACCAAAGGAAAGCGTGCTAGCTAGGAAGCTGCAAAAAGGTCAAGTCTATCAGAATCGTAATCAAAAGTCTCTCTGGCATATACACCTTGTTTTGAGGGCGCGAGTTTCTGAAACTATGCCTCAAGAGCCCCCACAATATTTCAATACTGAAGGCAAGCCGGTCATTGGCAAACAGTGCCGCGGATTTGGGAGCAAGATGGGGCAAGTATCTTCTTGGCACACCACCACAGCCATGTCTTCGCAGGTGACTAGCACTTGCTCTTTGGATATCTGAATTGATGGCAAGGTTGAGCTGCTGAAAATCCGATTCCAACCTCGGAGCTCAACCCAATCCCACAACATGCCCGCCTGACATGATTCCTTGAGAAGACTGAAAGAACTCAGGTTTTGCAGGTTTGGATCCTGTTCTGTGCAAATGTCACCCCTCCTGATGGCAAAGTTTGGCCTGATCTCAGAATCAGATCTGGTCATAATTTCAGGGCGGCCCTGCAGCCGAGAGCTATCTGGATGAGTGCAGGTGCACGTCATCTTGAAGGTTCGGTCCCGGTCTTGGAAGAAGAGCAAGGGGCCCCACTTTGTAACCTCGCTGGCCCAAAGTTTACTCATGGCTTCCAGGTCTCTCTTGTTGAAAGCTTCGTAGAAAGCCTACACGAACGCGGAACTGACAATGTGCAAAACCCAATCACACAAAATTGCAAAAAGTGCTTTCGCATGGTACGGTATTTCTGGCCAATACCTCACATGATTTTTTCACAAACCTAACAATATCTCACTCTTACAGGATCTCAGCGCCTGATTCGCCTTCAAGGCAGCACTAGCGGTATTTCGCAGCTTTGTGGCAGGAGTCCCCTGAGCCCCGAAACTCAGGCCGTGGGATGCATTGTCAAGGGGGCCCAAGGGGGGCACAAGGGAGGGGCCCCTTGACACCGCTGCATCCCAATTGATCTCAATGCATCCCATATTTCCATGTACTCCCAACTCTCTCCAGATTATTTCATATGATTCCATATGCTTCTCTCATCGAAGCACAAAATGCGCTTTTCAAAGCCGGGCTGCGGAGTCTTTGTCACGCTCTGCATGCTGCGCAAGGCGGAGCTGCCGCAGCTGCTCTGTGGAAGTCCTCCCTGTGAAGGTGGGCAGCTGGGGCAGCCTGGGCATCAAATTGCAACGGTCTGGGAGTCTTGGAGTCTGGGAACATCTCAAGCTATGGTGCCACATGGTGCCACAATGGTGCGACATGGGACAACCAAGAAACACTTTTCCTGCAGTCCAAGCAACAACTCCCATGCGAAGCAGAGTGTCAATAACAACCAGCAGAACGGCATGGCGTCAGCTCAAAGCGATGTGTAATTAAGTGTTGCCTAATGCATGCTATTGTGCCAGAGTTCTACTTGTTATATCATGTTATTTTGAAATCTGCACGTCATGGGACAGGATGTGTGAAAAGAGACTCATGTGTGAGCGGGTAAGGATCGTTGACTCATTGACTGGCATGAACCCAAAAGAAAAAGCGTCAAAGAAGAAAATTAGCAAAATCAAACATCTGAAGGGAAAGAGGCAAAAAACAAACATCATGGTCGCATTGAAGTTGCCCCCTCCGGTGCAGCAAAGCCATGATGGTGACCTTGGAGTGCCTTGACTGGAAACAGCTTAGGAAGCTTCTTGCCAGCAGACCTGATGATACCCAACATTTCAATCACTCACAGGTTGGCTTCAAAATATTTCAAGCGCTGGTGGTCCTTCTGTTTTGGCATTAGCAATTCATTAGCAATTCATCTCACTGCCACACCGAGTCCTTCCAGAAGGTTGCAGCCTCAGGAAGGGGCCTGCAGCTGTTGAGACTGCACCTGGCGCCCATGAGGACCAACCCTGGAACATTCCTGGATATATAATCTTGGATATTCGATCGTTTCACTGAATCAAGTCTTTTGTCTTTATCATGTGATTCAAATTATATTTATACTATTAATATACTTAATACATACATTTACATATATTATGCATTACTGTAATTAATATCAATTATTAAAATCATTTATATGTATAATCATTATCATGTCATTCAATTTCTATTCATATCTATTCTCAGTTGCTGATTGAGCCCTGCCTCAAGAGTGGTCCACAAGCCACAAGAGCCTCTGCAGCAGCTCGGCCCAAATTGGGGCAGGTCTCCAGCCTCGCAGTGCGACTTCTTGAATGTCCGGATGCTATGTAACACGCTATGGTATACTATGGCTGTATTCAGCATCCTTGTCATCCTTGTCAGATTGCGTTGCTGTGTGTTTATGTGATGTTTTTTTTTTGTGTGTGTGTCTATGCGCATCTAATGCTGAAGTGCAGCTCATGATCGCTTTTTTTGGCCAAGTGTCTGAAAGAACTGGAGCTGAGGGCCAACAGCAGAAGCCATCTGCGCACAGAAAAAACATGAAAAAACAAAGTTTGAGCAAAAGAGTGTCATAATGTGTCATAATGTGTCATAATGTGTCATAATGTGTCATAATGTGTCATAATGTGTCATAATGTGTCATAATGTCTCAATTACTATAGCAGGTATCTCCTAAAATTGCGGTCTGGGCTTCAGGCACACCATGCCATAATACCCACAGGTTGCTTGGCACTAAACATTTCACCATGTTTCATCCGCCAGCCTTGGAAGCAAACTCCACGACCTGCAACAAAGCCAAACTTCACAACATGCACGCAGGATCTTAAAGTGCTCGTGTAGATTTCTTGGGCACAATCCCGATGAAAACCGAGTGTCGAGCAGCTCCCTCCGTCAGTTGTCTACAACCGCTCAAATCCAAACAGCGTAGCCGCGACTCGACTGACAGCTCTTGTAGGGCGCGATCTGTCAGGCCTCTCAGCTCAAGGTCATGGTGTCACGATGCGTCACATCCTCATACGTTCCGTACATTCATACATTCCTCACTAGAGTCACCAGAAACCTTGATGTTCCACTTGCGTTCAGCCCAAGAGCATCCAGCACATGCCTCGATGAATAGTCCTTAAAGAGTCTTGAAGAGCTACTGGGAAGCATAGAATAGCATCCGCAATATGCACAATCACAATCGCATACAATTGCACAATGCAATTGCGGCACGTGCCTGCGGCAAATGCGAAGGAGAGGCTGGTGAGTTTCTCCAACCCAGCTGCGTATGTGACAGCATCATCTGAGAGGCGAGCAGCCTCTACTCAGCAACCGTCAGATTCCCAGCTCACTGAGCTAGAGCAGCTACAAATGGCTACAAGACCGGCTACAAGTGGCTAAAGTCATAGGCTAAAGTCTGGCCCAGTTGCCCAGCCTGACGGAGCCAAAGGGTTCGCAGTTGTGGACAATGTGCCTCTGGAAGGCTGGGCCATGGGCCATGCTTGGCCAGCGGCTTCAACGGACAGTGTGGATGCGCAAGGTGCTTTTTATAGCTACTCTTTCCCAGGCATCGCTTGAGGGGATGGCCACAAGCATCTGCACCCCAGGGTCCTTCCAAGCTGCGAACGAGATGCACAAACTAATTCCCTTCCAAGATGTTACAAGTTACAAGCATGTAATATCATGCAAAGACCAATCGTTAGACTTCACCAACACCACTACCAAGCGATATTCAACATATATCACCATCTCCTCCAAGGAGGGCCATCCGTCCACACAGAGCTCCCGCAACCGTGGACTCCGCAAGCCCTGGCACCAGCCTAAGATGCATCGAGTCATGCGTCCAGTCTATGGCTATGACGGCTATGACTTCGCAGAGGCACTCAGGTCCTGTCGGAGTCCTGTCCCATTGCCTTCGCCATCCTGTGCCCGTGCAGACGAGTTGCGGTTGGCTCCGATGACTCCCAGTCTGCGCTCTGACCTGGCATTTTGGCAACAACTTAACTGGTGAATGCAGTGATGTCGCAAGGAAATCTATGTCAATTCACGGTGCAAAGTGGGGGAAATAGATGGAAATAGGTAGAGATGCACACCTTCATAGTGCATGAGGAGTTATGTAACTCCGTTGACGTTTCTCAGAATCTCTCAGAAGCCCACTGTCCGAGAATAAGAGTTGGAAGCCGCACTGACTCCAAACCTGGGCTGGGAGCATTGGTGTAGCATTCAGACTCGGAGAGGCAGTTAGGCCTGATGATGCTGCAATTTTATCATCTCGGCTCCGCTGGGCTCCGTGCTTTCGCACAAGTGCAGCAAGCCAAATGCACTCTCTCCACCTCACCAGGACAGTAGGATGTCGTGTATTAATGCCAAATCTGGACAGGTTGAGCACAAAGTTAGAAACCTTGAAAACATCTGAGAACCGACAACAACCCTGCGCCCACACTTCGAAACTCTGGGCTTCCAAACACATTGGACGGCAACCGCTCAAATGCAGCCGGCGCAAGCAGAAGTGGTGCCGACCTCGATTCCACACTCACGTTTTGGGATGTTTTGGGCAAATGGGTGAGACAAAGAAGCACGTGGCAGCTGCCCACGTGTGAGCGGCTGAGGCCCCGGACGCAAGAACCAAAAGCAGCGATCGCTTAGGAGCTTCTGACCATCAGCCCTCACATCTTGCAAGTTCCTCATCTGAGCAACAATGCCAAACCTCAGGTGGCTGCCCTGAGTGAGAAACATTAAAAAACATTAAGAAACACTCATCACATTCTATCGCATTGTCAGGATCTGATACCGCATTAACATCACCCATCATGAGGCTGTCATGAAAGTTGCAGAAGGCCTGGAGCCTTTTGGGCATCTTTGGGCCCTTGCATGTCGTCCGTCAGCCAGGACCGGTTCTTGTGAGCACGACCCTGGTGAACCTGAAAGTCCACAGATCTCAACCTGCAAAGCAAATCAATGCAGCTTGGAGACAAGGTGTGCCACCAGACCTTTCAAGATTTTGAAGCATGGAACCCTGGGTCCTTGTTGCAATGCCCTCCTCTGCTCTGTTTGCAAAATGCCATGACGGCAATGAAAGTCATTCGTTTTCTCAAGATCCAAGGTCAGGGAGTAACTGCAAAAAAGATGGCCTCAAACGTGCCAATGGAACCAGGGGTGGGGGGCTCAAGGCCCCCCCAACTTCGACGAAGCTTTGCGGCCTGAGTTAGCCGGCATGCGTGAGAGTTTAAAACAAAAGAAGAAAAGGTTACCCAAAAATGCTCAAAAGTTGACTCAAAAGCAACTCTTTGAAAAGCTGAAAAGTGATGACTCGATGACAAGTGTGCAATTCTGACCATGAGATGAAAGTTCTGAGACAAACGCAGTTTTAAGGTCTGCAATCTTCTGCAACTCTTGCACAGGATCTCACAACGGAGTAGACTGAGTAGACTCTAATGGTTCCAAGCCAAAGTCAACGAGCGCAACCGGGCGCACTCAGCACTCAACAACGTCACAACGCAGTTGTCAAAAATGTCAAAATGTTGTTCAACGCAGTCAATGGGCACACCTCAATGTCTTTCCACGTGGCAGTGCAGCGCACCACAGTAAGCTCCCGGAGTGTGCATGACTTCGGTAGCTCCTCGCAAGAAGGACAGGACCACGGGGGAAACTTGAACACCCCATCGCTTAGCGGCTTAGCCAGAAACACCATGAAACACCTGCCTCGGGAAAGTGCTTATGGAGAGTCGCAAAGAATTGATGAATGCGCAAATGAGTTCGTATTCTGTGCGTCGGTCCAGTACCTCTCTGTTGGGTCACTTATGCTTTTTAGTTATATAAGCCTTAGAGCAACAGAGGGACATCTCACCCAATGCCCTGCAGCTATACGCTGTATATACGCTGTATATACGTATTGCGCTGTACAAGTATGGCCTCTGTCAAGTACTGCAAGGACACTGGAAAGTCTGCGCCGTTGCTCAGGTGGAGAACCTCGACTTGTGAAATCTTTTGCAAATTTTCAAAAACAAACTTTGAAGCACTTTGAAAACTTGCAAACTCCTGCACTTTGAGCATCTTTGAGCTGCGAACTCTTAATTGCTTGCAGCTCTGCAAAACCTGCGTCGAAGAAACGCGACATATCTGGCAACCCTTGTGATCGCTACTCCTTGGATACTCCTTGGGCACTTCTACAAGCGATCTTAATTCCAATCTGTGGCACCTGTCGGAGGTTCACCATATTTGGGACCAAAGTCAAACCGAGCCTAGCTTTGCAGTGTCTGTGCATTTTCCATCATTTTCCATGTTTCTGACATTTCAGATCTCGAGACAGTTTGTGGGCTTTCAGCTGCTGAGTGGTGGTTTCGAAAAACCGGGTGTCACATGGTGTCACAAGGTCCAAGCTCCTGTGGTCGATGACATTGACATTCACGACACATCTTTACGCGTGCTCACGCAGGCTCAGTCCCGCACTTCAGAGCTCGAAGCTTCGTGCAGGACACCAGTCCGGCGCAAACGCTGCTGATCTCAGTGGATCCACTGATTAGCAGAGCAGTTGCACGCAGGGAACGGAGCAAAAAAATGCAAAAAGTATGTTGCAAAACCATTGGTGAATGATGGTGAATGGTCGATGATGTTGGATGACAACCTGACAAGGTCTGACAGGTGGCTGCACTGGCCACAAACTCCCAACCAAGTGGCAAGGCCAGGATCTGGCACCTCAACCAAGCGAAGCTCAAAACATCTTCGAAGAACTTGACGCAAGGCCTTCAAAAAATCCAGCTTTTCACAGGCCACTAGTGACCCAGGAATGTCCCCGTTCATGGATTCCAATCTTGTCACTGTCACACCTAAAAACTGACGGCTTCTGTAGATTGCACAGCGCTACCAATCTTGCGGGTTGTTTTCGCAACATCACAGGGCTTTGAAGTCAGCCATGGCCTGTGAATTATCCCGACGAGCAACGGGTATGCTCTGGGAAAATGTGAGACGCCTCATGACCAGCAAACGATTGAAGTATGGCCCGCCTTGTGCCCAACCATTGGCTGCTTAATTTCCCCGATGAGAAAGGGAAGACTCCGGGTGACATGCTTCGTTCGCCAGATGTGCAACATCTCTGTTGCAGTATCTAAACTGGGAGGTTTGCGGTGTCTCGAGCCACTCTGTGCAGACTGCGTACGAGTAGCTGTGTTGTGCTGTGTTACACTCCGTTGATCACAAGCGCTCTAGCAGCTCGAATCCTGCTCTGTGCTGTGTTAGGCTATCAATGCCCTGCCTTGCTCAAGGGCGTTCCAACCCAACTCAAGAGACGGCAAAATGTCAAACATCTATCTAAACTATCTAGACTGTCTAAGGCTATCTAAAACTATCTAGGGTTATCTAAAACTATCTATCCAAATCTATCCTGTTCAAACATTGTGTCGCTATCACAATCTGAAAGCCGCGGGGCAGGGCAAAGAAACTTTACGCGTCCCATTAGATCAATTGGACGGCAAAGCCCACTTCGGAGCAATGGCATCACAAGCGCACACTGTCTGAATCGAACCGCATCTCGATCAAAAGGATCCAAAAGGGGGCACCTTTGCCATACTGTGAATACGTGTGGTTGGTTACCAGTAGTACCGCACACAAGGCGGTGGCGCAAGTTTCAAAGATAGGACACTATAGGGGAGGTGAGTTGTTGCGATGCATGGATGGCAGAGCGAATCCACTGATGGACCGAAAGGTGGTCGGAGTTGTGTTTTTTGGAGTGGTTGCAAAGGTTGCAGTGGTCAGCCCAGTTGTAGTTGTAAGTGTGGTGTAGCGTAATGAAGTTGTAGCTGTAATGTAGTGTAATTGGTGTCGTGCAAATGTAGTTGCAGTTGTAGTGGTGGTGTGGCGTAATGTAGCGTAATGTACTGTAGTGTTGTGTACTGTAGTGTGGTAAAGTGTAGGCTAGTGTAGTGTAGCGTAGCTGCAGCTGTAGTTGCGGTGTGCTCTGGTGTAGTGTAATTAGTGTAGTGTAGCGTAGTGTAGTATAGTTCGATGTAGCGCGGTGGCAGTTGCAGTTGTAGTTGTGATGTAGTGTAGTGTAACAAGTGTAGTGTAGTGTTGTGCAATCTAGCGTAGTTGTGATTGTAGTTGCAGTTGTAGCTGTAGCTTGGTGTAGTGTAATTAGTGTAGCGTAGCGTGATATAGCTGTAGTAGTAATAAAGTAGTAGTAGTAGTAGCAGTAGCAGTAGCAGTAGCAGTAGGAGTAGCAGTAGCAGTAGCAGTAGTAGTAGTAGGTAGTAGGTAGTAATAGTAGTAGGGTAGTAATAGTAGCAGGTAGTAATAGTAGTAAGTAGTAATAGTAGTAGGTGCTAATAGTAGTAGGTAGTGATAGTAGTAGGTAGTAATAGTAGTAGGTAGTAATAGTAGTACCTAGTAGTAAGTAGTAAGTAGTAACTAATAAGTAGTAAGTAGTAAGTAGTAAGTAGTAAGTAGTAAGTAGTAGTAGGTAGTAGTAAGTAGCAGTAGTAGTAGTAGTAGTAAGTAGTAGTAAGTAGTAGTAAGTAGTAGTAAGTAGTAGTAAGTAGTAGTAAGTAGTAGTAAGTAGTAGTAAGTAGTAGTAAGTAGTAGTAAGTAGTAGTAAGTAGTAGTAAGTAGTAGTAGGTGGTAGTAGTAGTAGTAATAATAGTAATAATAGTAATAGCAGTAATAGTAGCAGTAGTAGTAGTAGTAATAATAGTAATAGTAGTAATAGTAGCAGTAGTAGTAGTAGGAGGAGGAGTAGTAGTAGTAGCAGTAGTAGTAGCAGTAGTAGCCGTAGTAGTAGAAGGAGCAGGAGTAGGAGTAGTAGTAGTAGTAGCAGTAGTTGTTGTTGTTGTCGTCGTCGTCTTAGTAGTAGCAGCAACAGCAGCAGCAGCAGCAGCAGTAGTAGTAGTAGCAGTTGTTGTTGTTGTTGTCGTCTTAGTAGTAGTAGCAGCAGCAGCAACAGGAGGAGGAGTAGTAGTAGTAGGAGTAGTAGTAGGAGTAGTAGTAGGAGTAGGGGTAGGAGTAGGAGTAGTAGTAATAGTAGTAGTAGTCGTCGTCGTCGTAGTAGTCGTAGTAGTCGTAGTAGTCGTAGTAATAATCGTAGTTGTTGTTGCTGCTGCTGTGTTTTGTAATTAGCGTAGTGTGCTGTGACTGGTGTAGTGCAGTGTAGTGTAGCGTAGTGTAGTGTAGTGTAGTGTAATTAGTGTAGTGCAATGTAGCGTAGTATATTTGCATTTGTAGCTGTAGTCGTAGTAGAAGTGTAGTGTAGTTGTAGCTGTAGTTGTAGTTGTGGTTGTAGCCTCGTGTAATTAGTGTACTGTAGTGTAGTTCAATGTAGTGTAGTTGTAGTTGCAGTTGTGGCTGTAGTGTAGTGTAATGTAGCGTAATGTAATGGAATTAGTGTAGTGTAGTGTTGTGTAATGTAGCGCAGTTGTAGTTGTAGCTGCGTCTGTAGTGTAGTGTAGTGTAGCGTAGCGTAGCGTAGCGTAGTGTAGTGTAATGTAGTGTATTGTAGTGTTGCGTAATGTTTTGTAGTTGTTGCAGTTGTAGTTGCAGTTGAAGTTGCGGTGTAGTCTAGTGTAGTGCAGTGTAGTGTTGTGTAAGGTAGAGTAGTTGTAGTTGCAGTTGCAGTTGCGGTTGTAGTGTGGTGTAGTGCAATTGGTGTAGCGTATTGTTGTGGAATGTAGTGTAGTTGTAGCTGTAGTTGCGGTTGTAGCCGTCGTGTGATGTAATTAGTGTAGCGTAGTGTAATGTAGCTGTAGTTGCAGCTGTAGTTGTGGTGTAGCGTAGTGTAGTTCAATTCGTGTAGCGTAGCGTTGTGCAATGTAGCGTGGTTGCAGTTGTGTAGCATAGTGTTGTGCAATGAGTGTAGTGTAATTAGTGCAGCGTCATGTACTTGCAGTTGTAGTTGCAGCTGTAGTTGTAGTAGTACTTGTAGTTGTAGTTGTGGTGTGGTTAGTGTAGTGTACTGTAACTAGTGTAGTGTAGTGTAATTATAGCGTAGTGTAGTGCAACTAGTGTAGTGTAATCTAGCGTAATATATTTGCAATGGTAGTAGTAGTGTAATGTAGTTGTAGTTGTAGTAGTTGTTGTCTGTCTATCTATCTATCTATCTGTCTGTCTGTCTGTCTGTCTGCCTGTCTATCTGTCTACCTGCAATCTTGAAAACCAACCTATTCTGCGTTACTTCCTCAATTTTTGACCTTGGCAACATCAAAAAACGCGGCAATTCTGCGAGACTTCCTCAATTTTCCCCTTGACGAAGTCAAAAAGGAAGCAATTGTGCGAGACTTCCTTCAAAAATGGAAGTTGAGGGCAAAGGTGAGGGCCTCGTACCAATGCGTTTTGCGATTGTTCGACTCCATCTGTGTCAAGTGCTGCGCCTGCCACGCAAAAGTGATGCCAGATCATACAAAGTGCTGCACCTGTCACGCAAAATCATCTTAGCAAACCTGAAGATCTGATGCTCCAAAATGCAACCCCTCTCAGGAAATCAGCACCCTGACCTCCTGATATCTCTGATGCGCATGTCTCTTGTAGCGCGCCAAAGTGCTAAGACCCTGGTGCGCATTGTACATTTTGACATGGAAATGCGCTTCGCGCCACAACGGCGTGCAATTTTTCATCTCTCATCTGACCACATGGCTTCGCACCCGGCGCTTTAGCGAGCCTACTTTTCGAACCTCCGGAGCCACAAAACATTGGAAAAACACAGTGTTTCGCGACTTTGCTACCTTTTCGCGCACCTGCGCCTGCATCTTCTTTCTTCTCACTCTTTCTCTTCTCTGATCTTCTCTCTTCTGCTCTTCTCCCCTCTGACTCTTCCCACCTCTGCTTTTCCATCTGTCCATATTGTCGGAAGTTTGACTTCTAAACTTCCTTCGACTATGTAGTAGCCTTACTGAGGCTGGTTTGCATTTCAATGCCAAGCCTTGTAAAGCTGACACGGAACTTGTGCGGCCAATTCGGTCAGCCCATCTTTGAGAACAAGGCGGGAAAAAGATTCAGAGCGAACCAATGCGAGCAATAGGGTGGCACATGTTTTGAAGACTGCCAAATATATCCAAATATCTCAAACATATGAAATCATTTCCTGCAGTACATACACCAGGATAAACTTTTAAAGACACTCCTCACTCCTCTACTTTCCACTCCTTGTGGCGCTGTGTGAGTTCCAAAAGTTGCAGTAGCGAGATTCTAGCCACTTTACGTGCAAATCTAGTCTCTTTAGTCCGCAGTGGCATTCTGATATGCACAGCCGATAGAATCATTTACATCAGGGACTCTAATGACTATTCTATTGTCATTCTGAGTATGTCTAAGCCCAAATCACCGCGAACAGCCTACCTGTACCAACATCAATGCATGTTGCCCGCTTGCACACCTGAAGGATTATGGCGCCTTGCCACATGTAACTCGCAGAGTTCAAGAATGGCCAGCTTGTTGTCGAACATGCTGGCGTTCAAATCGTAGTAGTTCGTAGTATGGGCCCTAACGTGCGATTGCAAGCACCTGTTGCTGTCAAGCGAAGCATTGTGCACCCTTATCCGATTATGGGAATATGGCCGACAAATAAACTGAACTCAGCAACAAGTGCTTGACATCCAAGCTGCGCCAATCCCAGGCGTGAAAATATGAATGCCCGGTGTGAAATCGACTGCTAGAGGTTACCAGGAGCGATTGTTCTTCCTTTCTAAGTGCGGACCGGTATATTTCTACACTTTATGTATGTCAGAATGTCAAGTCGAAAGCACTGACATATTGTGATTTCGTAGTATCACTATGTATCACTCATGCTGAATCAAAACTCAGCAAAGTCAACTCAACCGACCGCGAACCAAGCAGGTTGTGCCGCGTTGTGCATCTCATGCTTTCCACGAGTGCAATCAACGACGCACGTGTAGCCGGGTGCCTCTGCAGGCGCATGCTACGCAAAAAGGCCAGCCAACTGCATGATATATTACTACGACTAACAACTGCTGCTACTGCTGCTACTACTACTCCTCCTCCTACTCCTACTCCTACTCCTACTGCTTCTATTAATATTATCTAATATTATGACTACTATTGGACACACTAGCCTTATGTGTAGGAATTCAGATTTACAGATAAAGTTGAAGTTATGTCTGTGTCTGAGATTTGTCCGAATCTCCAACTCATTTTACAGTAGTTGTATACGCCTTAATATTCAGTTGTATTGTTATTATGATCATAAATGTATTACATCACGTATCACTTCTTTTCTGCTTCTTTTCTGAACCTGCCCGTGGCCAGCACCGCGCACAGAAGCATACTCTTCAAGAAGTCCGGACATGGCAACAATTTCATTTCATTCGAAGCATCATCTTTTTTGCTACGCAAATAAGTAAATTTCTTAGCAATAAAAATCAAGCATGAACCGGGGAACACGCGTATCATGTTGTCGGACTCTTGTGCATCTCCCAGACTTCTGGACCCACAGGAAGCGAAACAGATTCCATTAAGGTTCCTCACTGGCTCCCACGACAGCACCCTGCCCGTTCACAAGGTCTGTCCGGCATAACGGGCAGTTCCGGTTGACATTCAGCCAACCTTTGAGACCTCAGGAAGTTGTGTGAGTCGTGTGACACAATGTGTGACTGGAACAGTTGTAGCAGTGGCCGCTGCATGCCGCTGCAGATTCGACATCTACGAGGGCCTTTGACCTTTCCTCTTGACTCTTGACCGATCTACTTCTGTGGTTCTGTGCAAAGCTTCTCGGCTTCTGTATCGAAGCCACACCTTCGTCACATTTTCCACTCTCGGCATTTGGGAGTTTAAGAGAGTTCTGCTACCAAGCGGCAGGTCGTGTGGTAACAATGTCCACACACTGTTTTTCGGATTTCTTTCTGTGCACTCCAATCTTCGAGACAAATTGAGCAGCACGGATTGTCACCTGACCAAAGTTGTAAGCCCAGTCGGAGATAGTCGGAGGATAATTCACGAAAACAAATCTATATACAGCTCTGAAATTCTACACCTGCTTCAGGATTTGCACCTTCCCATAATGCAACAACTACTCCCATGTCAAAACGCACTGCTGGCAACCACCAAGGACGCCACCGAAGTCATGCTGGCCAAAATGGACAATTTCCTGCTTTTCAATCGTGCCCTTTGGGGCAGCATTTTCCTCAGCACAAAAGACATCGCTGACCAACCACTGACCTCTAGCCTGCTGACATAATATCTGTCCTAGTCCGGGGTGGCCCAAAACGAGCACTGCTTCCATCATGTTATTCTGCTTCAGAATGATTCAGATTCCGTTTACGGACTCTGGCACCAAGTTGCACCAAATACACACTGGCACGATGCAAATACTCCAGGCAAGGATCTGCTGAATGTAGCATGCCATGCCTCATCATGTAAGCCAGGATCACCTGTAAGCCCACCGCATTGATGAGGAACCAAACTGCGATGAACAAACCGCAGCCTTAGGTGCCGCCAGCAATGCCTCCTGTGTCTGTGACACAATGGTGCTGAAAGGATACATTGAAAGCAAAGTGCATTGCGACTCAACCCACGGCATGCACAGCAAATCCGGGGTCCAAACTTGCAAAAGCGAGGATTGAGTAATACACATCGGGCATGTTCTCTGAACACGTCTTGGAAGTTGCCGCTAAGATAATTCCAGTTATATTCCAAACGAAGTCAAAGGTCGGAAATAACCTGGGCAAAAGGGATGGACGTGATCTTGCATGCACAAACAACGCACAAAAGCATTCAGGAAGAGTTTTAAAGAAACTTGTTTTTGTCACAGATTGACACCTTGAATGCCCAGCAGTGGCCAAGGAGCAGATTGTAGAGCTTGACGTACCAGGGTGCTGGACCCTGATTGTTCTCACGTGGATCATATTTGCAAACGCAGCGGATCACCATTCTGTGCAGGAAAAACCTCACACTGTGCGAGTGGAATGAGCCAAGGCGCAAGGGCAGGGCAAACACTGCATGGCAATTCTACATCATTTTGCATGCCCAAGCGTTTGTCAACCGCTAGTCAACTGGACTAGTGCAACCAAGTGCAACCAAGTGCAACCAAGTGCAACCAAGTGCAACCAAGTTACATGTAGACCTTGATGATGTACCTATGCAGGCGCTAAGCTAGGGCTCATCAACCGAGCAGAATCACAAGAAATGCCACCACCACTGTCCCCACCACAACACAAAAAAAGAAACGGCATTCATTGGCAGGTCAGCCATCGAGACAACTCCTGTAGCACAAAGATATGCAAGAGTGCCAAGCTGCACTACCGTCACCCACTCTAGCAGCGGTGCGTCACATGAGAGTCGTTCGTTCCTGCGGTCGAAATCGTTTTAGGATGTCGTACTGAAAAAAATTTGATGCAATTTGCCAATGCAATGACTTCCGAATCCCACCTCGCATGGGCCCAGCCTTGATCCAATTTCCAAGGGTATAAGCAATGGCAACAAAAAAATGCCGTTCTTTGGTGTGGCCAAGTCAACTCGTGCACTTGTGAAGACAATACCCCCCTGACCGCTGGGACCACGGCTTATTATGAGCCAAATGAGGAGCCCGAAGGAGGCAATGCCGACCACGCAAAGCGTGCACATGAAGCAAATGACCCATCGAATGATGTGGTCCCTGCACGGACAGATCAGTGGTACTGGCGGCCTGTAGCCATCTATGTCAATCTATGGCAGTCTATGGCAATCTGGAGACCAAGTTTCAGCTTGTCATCTCGAGCCTGAGCTCCATAGCAATGCGAGCCTGCACTTCCAAGGCGTCCACTTGCCTCGTTGCAGTGGTATATTGTGCTGCTTCTCCCATGTGCTTCCACCTGCTTGCACCTACTTACATCTTGCATCTCTTTGCATGTTCTTGTTGGATTCTTGCTGCTTGCATCTGCTTGATCAGGACTCGCAGCATTTGCCAAGTCACTGATTGGTCATACCTCGTGCCAGAAGGTCCCCTCGATCAACTGGCTGTGGACCACCTGTAAAATCGCCAAGCTCGACACGTCTACAAGAGCAGTGAAATGATGGCTGCAGTGTCAAAAAGTGTTGAATGGAGCCCGACCAACAATGCGGTCTGCCAGCGAATTGTTGGAGGATCCCCCTTGGCAAGAAACAAATCAGATAAATCAACAATCAAAATAATCGTCAATACATGTGTGATGTCATTTGATGTCATGTGATGTCATGTGATGTCATGTGATGTCATTTGATGTCATTTGATGTCATTTCATCTCTACAAGCCATGATCTGAGCATCTTGCGCTGGTAACCACCTTGTGGATTTCCTTGACAATGTGTCAAGTGCTGTCAAGTTCACAAGCAACACTGGACCGCCGCCAAAGAAATACTGTTCATTCAAGGTGCTGCACTCTGACTGTCTCTTTCTGTGCGATGAGAGCAGCCGCAAATCAAGCCAAGTGACCGTCACTGTGGGAATTTTGCACATTGTTTGTGTCATCACTCATTTGAAGCTGGTATTCAGTCCAACCAATTTGGCCGAACTTGCATTGACAAATTGATACGTTTTCTTGAGCCTGTCCAAAAGCTGCGGGCGTATGCCTACGTCTATGTGCAGCTTGTGGGGTCTCCCCTCAAGAGGTGCACATGAGCAAAATCCCAGGAGTTGAAGCTCCCAAGCAGTCCTCTTCAAATCATACAATTCAATAAACATCAATAAACATCAATAAACTATGCAAAGAGAGTGCTCAGGGCTCAGGGCCACACTTTCATGAACCTACTTTCTTTTTCTACGAGTTAACTGTGCACCTGATATACAGAAACCAAACTGGACAACGACGAAAAAACCGCTCACCCAAACTGTTGGTTGCTGCCACAGTGGGAGCCTCTGGTTTCGGCGCACCAGCTACCGTGCACCTCGCACCGAGCACAGGCTCGATTGATCCATGGTTGCAGATTCAGCTCACTCATTCTGCAGCATATAATTCCTATAACTCATATAACACTTACTTGACTTACTTATCTGTCTCTCTGCCTGTCCATCTATGTGCTCTAATTATACATTAAATATAGGGTAGGAAATTGTTTGGGGATTATTTTTTTTTTTGTTTGGGGAATTTTTTTTGGATTTCCGGTTCTCACCATTTCCCATGCTATTTGCAGCATTTTGGAGCTGGAAACTGCCATTTCCACGGTATGTGCAACGGTTTTGAGTTCGAACCTCTCATTTTCCATTGTATTTTCCACGGTATTTGCAACAGTTTGCAGCATGTTCTGTCCATTTTCCATGCTCTTTGCAGCATTTTTGAGCTGGAATCTGCATTTCCACCGTATGCGCAACATTTTACAGCTACATTCCTCACAGTACTTGCAGGATTTTGGAGCTGAAGGCTGACATTCCAACAGTTGTTTGTTGTTACTGTTACTGTTGTTTGTTGGTGTTGGTGTTGTTGTTGTTGTTGTTGTTGTTGTTGGTGGTGGTGGTCGTGTTGTTGCTGTTGTTGTTGCTGTTGTTAGTGTTAATGTTAGTGTTGTTAGTGTTGTTAGTGTTGTGTTAGTGTTGTGTTAGTGTTGTGTTAGTGTTGTGTTAGTGTTGTGTTAGTGTTGTGTTAGTGTTGTGTTAGTGTTGTTGTTGTTGTTGGTGGTGGTGGTGGTGGTGGTGGTGTTGTTGGTGGTGGTGGTGTTGTTGTTGTCGTCGTCGTCGTCGTCGTCGTTGTGGTTGTTGTTGTTGTTGTTGTTGTTGTTGTTGTTGGTGTTGGTGTTGGTGTTGTTGTTGTTGTTGTTGGTGGTGGTGGTGGTGTTGTTGTTGTTGGTGGTGGTGGTGTTGGTGTTGGTGTTGTTGTTGTTGTTGTTGTTGGTGGTGGTGGTGGTGTTGTTGTTGTTGGTGGTGGTGGTGTTGGTGTTGGTGTTGTTGTTGTTGTTGTTGTTGTTGGTGTTGGTGTTGGTGTTGGTGTTGGTGTTGTTGTTGATGTTGCTCCACACCTCATGGAAAAGCAAAAAAGCAAAGAAAAGCAAAAAAGCAAAAAAGCAAAGAAAAGCAAGAAAAGCAAAAAAGCAAAGAAAAGCAGAAAAGCGAGAAAAGCAAAAAAACAAAGAAAAGCAAGGAAAGCAAAAAAGCAAAGAAAAGCAAGAAAAGCAAAAAAGCAAAGAAAAGCAGAAAAGCGAGAAAAGCAAAAAAGCAAAAAAGCAAAGAAAAGCAAAGAAAAGCAAAGAAAAGCAAAGAAAAGCAAGGGAAGCAAAAAAGCAAAAAAGCAAAGAAAAGCAAGAAAAGCAAAAAAAGGAATAGAAGCAAAGAAGCAGAGAAGCACTGCAGGAGGCAATAGAGTAAGCAGGAAGAAATCCAAAAAAAAATCCCTAAACCAAAAAAAAATCCCTAAATAAATGGCCCTCCTTAAATATATGATACATATATATATATATACACATGATGATATATAATTATATATATGTGTGTGTATCGATATTGATATTGATATTGATATTGGTATTGATATTGATATTGATATTGATATTGATATTGATATGATAGATATGCATTAGACTGCAGTAGGATGCATTACGTATGTTTGCGAGTTTAAGTGACGTGTCGCACCAAGGCCAGCACTCGCGGACAAGTGCCAAAGGTTGGGAAGCGACTTCGCTGCCGCCCCCCGCAGCCAGGAAAGCCTGTCGTACCGAGTCGTACTGAGGCGTACTACGCTCACCGAGCTGAAGCGCTTTGCTTCAAATCTGAAGCCGACTGCGATATGCGATCCAGCCTTCCACATGTCAGAACCTTGGCCGCGAAGCATGCGACAAATCCATCTAAATCCTATTTATTCTTCAAAGTGTGTTCGAGGTCTCTCTGTGCATATCATGTACACATCTGTATGCGCTACGTACACCTCTTTTTTGAATTTTTATTTGCATGTGTGCATCAGGCATCTGCATCCACTACATCCCTCACCATCCGTCCGTATATCTGCATCTGCTGTGCTCGTACATATCAGCTCACAGTGTTAAACAGCAGCAGCCTAAGAGCCCCACGTGTTTTGGCACCAGCTGCTGTCCAAACTCTTCGACCGCTTGCAGCGGCTCCAGCCGCTGCCTTCCACAGCATTTTTTTGAAGGTCTGTTTATCTTGAAGGTCTAGATCCACAGGAGATTAGAATATATAGATGAGCCGGGTTTCACTGCCAGAACTCCTGGCAACTTCGCTCTCAAGACAAGGCTTGTGGCTACAAACGGCAAATCATCATAGACATCAACCGGTATGCTTATAGCGTTTTGTGGCCGCTCGGGCAGAAGCAGCTGACCCTCTGCCTCCAGAACTTTGACAGAGGCAGCTTCCATGGTCACTCCTTAGCAACTCCATTGCGACAGCTCCGAATCTGTGCGAGACAACTGATCTAAAATATGTCATAGGGATTCAAGATGCGAACAAGGAGCGGAAAGCACCTGTCGCTTTCCACCAAGTTTTGCACACTCCTGCAGCTTCCATCTTTGAGCTGAGGAATTGTAAAACCTGAGTAGAACATTGGGACCCCAAGTCAAACTCCCACGGAGAAAAACCTGCGTAAAACTTGAGGTGCTTGCACTTGTTGCTAACTTCTGCGATCGGCGGAACACACGGCCCCACCACTTCGTGCTCCTAAGCCAACCCGCAGCATGGCGGAATATGACGGAGCCGTTTCTCTGCTTCTCACTTACCACCAGCAGCCAAAGGCATGGCCAACACAGCACACTGCGGCCAAGTCGCAGGCAAAGTTCCGCCCAAGTGCGACAAACAAACATTGCCTCGCCATGCTCCGGCATGTAAGCAAGAACCTCGCATCGTCATCGGTCATCAAGGCTCGATGGAAACAGCATGAAACAGACGTCGGGCTGAGTCATTGAGTGCCTCCGCCGCAAGCCAGTCAGGCAGCCGAGTGGTGTTCTGCATCCCGATGCCGGACTGAGGAAGGAGATCCCTTCACAAACAGGAGGGGAGCAAAATGAAAAAAACATCAAACATATTCAAAAAGGTTCTTCAGTCTTCACTGCTGCTTGCTCCTTCTGGTTGTTATTGCATCATTGTTTCCTTCATGTTCCATGTCTTGGGGCCTAATGACCATTCGCAGCACAGCATGCAAATCTCTCACCGCCGCCAAGGCTTGCCCCCGCTGCACCTGGATGCAGCCGCAGAATGCACGCAGGGGAAAGTATGCCAGGCAAGGTGCTTCATGTCACATACCAACATGAGGAAGCAATATCCAGCATGGAATGGCGCAAGACTCGTTCAAGTGCCCAAGTGCAATAGCCTGCAATAAATATCAGTTCCAAGACGTTTCAAGATAGCCCCCGCACCTCTTGTGCAGATTCTGCACCCAGGGTCGCACGACTTGCCCTGTCTGCAAAAGCCATGGAGCACAGCGTCTCCTGTTTGGCAGAACTTGGCATTGTCCAAGCCAACTGATGCAAATCTTTTACAAAGTTGTGATCACTTCTCCCTTAACAGCCTTAACACTTGGTCCTGGGCATGACGGCGCTCTGGGCTGATGCAAACACAAAGTAACACTCTGCCACTCGCCTCGTTGCGATGTATCCAAAGGCTTGCGGACCGGCTTTAAAGCCAGACCCGCTTGCAGTATTCCCCAATGACATTTCGGAAGAAGCTGATTGCCAACCAAGTTTCCTTGAAAAAAGGTTCCAGAAGCCGCGTCAGCAAGCAGGTTCTGTAGGGCAAGTGATTTGCGCGATGCCTGCATACTTCTCGATTGCATGTCTGAAAGCCCAGGTCCATGTGCCAAAAGACTCTGCATCCCTATAATCTAGACTAGACGCTGCAGGCAGAAAAGCTGTTGTTATCTAACAGCCAGCTGCAAGGGCACCTGAGAGCATGGATTACGGAGCCAAGAGCAGATAGCCTGGCGTTCTTGCACACTTTAGTCAGTTGGCAGTTCCCTAATTGGAGGAAGCGCCAAGAAAGGTCGTAAAGGACCATAAAGGGGCATAAAGCGCCATGTCATCCTTCACTTTGGGCCGAGAAACGACAAATTGATGTGGCGGCTCTCATCCGCCACCGCTCCTCCAGCCTGTTGGGAAAGCCACCGCTGAGCATCACACGGTGCCAAGAGTTGCCAAGCAGAGCTGGCAGTGTGCTGAATCTGGGGAATGACGTTGTCAAGCCTCTGCTGGCAACCTCTCAGAGCCTGCCAAATCTACAAAGGCAAGGCGCAGAGCTGGCTCACCTCACTTTCACCCCATTGGCGATCCAGTGTATTTTTCTGTGGAGGCTAGCATGCTAGTGATGATTCAAAGGCCAGCTGGGCAACCGACTCCGAGTCCCTGGAAGGTTGGCGTGCACAAACACCTCTGCAAATGTACAGTTTTTCAAGGCCGTTTTGGGTCTGACAAATCGATAATTACATAGGATGATTGGAACGCAACAGACTGCTGAGTTTCCTGCCAGACTGTGCGAACGACTGCTAGTGGCATTGAAACACCTTATCACCGGAACTCTAACGCGTGATGCCGTGATGCCGTGATGCTGTGATGCCCGAAATCTGTTCAGGTCTCATCTCTTGTATACATGTGCATATATATATATATGTGTGTGTGCGATATATATATATACATATCATATTTATTGTTAATATTAACAATAAAAATATTTTTTGGTTACAGTAGTTGTTAGTATTGTTCTGATTGCTATTGGTATTGCCGTTATTATTATCATTAATTGTATTTATATTCTTATTATTGTGAATATATGACAAGTGAGGGGCACCAAGATGTTCCAAGGCTTGCTGAGCTCTTGTCGTGCTTCGTGTGCTTCGTCGCTCGGCTGCTTGGAGGAGAAGAGCCTCGGCCTCCTGGGGCCAGATCCATGAAGATGAGAAAGGACAAAAAAGGATAAACGGGAAATCTATATATACCGTTAAAAACAAAGTTAGAATGCGGTTTTGGCTTCGCGTGATGGTGGCCCGTTTGGCCCCCCCCCCACGGCAGACGCATTCTAACTGAAGGAACACCTGTAAATATGCAGAAACACAGTTAGAATGCGGCGCCAAAATTGGTAAGAAAATGTAAATTTTGACTGGTATTTTACAGGCGAAATACAGTTAGAATGCCTCCTCCTTTTCTTCTATGTCTTTTTCATTGATCTATATCTGCTGTAGGTTTCGGGGTGCATTCTATTTGTTGTTTTTCCACTATAGCCACATGTTTCTCACCTGCAGGGAACCTGGGGTGCCCTTGTCTCTTTTCCGATCTTATCCTCTTCCCTTTTCTCCTCCTTTTCTTCTATATTGTTCCTTACCCTTCCTTTTCTTCTATGTCTTTTTCATTGATCTAAATCTGCTGTAGCTTATCCTCTTCCCTTTTCTCCTCCTTTTCTTCTATATTGTTCCTTACCCTTCCTTTTCTTCTATGTCTTTTTCATGGATCTATATCTGCTGTAGTTTCCCGGGAGGCATTCTATCTGTTGTTTTCCCCACTGTAGCCATATGTTTCTGACCCGCAGGGAACCTGGAGGGCCCTTGTCTCTTTTCCGACCTTATCCTCTTCCCTTTTCTCCTCCTTTTCTTCTATATTGTTCCTTACCCTTCCTTTTCTTCTATGTCTTTTTCATTGATCTATATCTGCTGTAGTTTCCGGGGAAGCATTCTATCTGTTGTTTTCCGCACTGTAGCCAGATGTTTCTGACCCGCAGGGAACCTGGAGTGCCCTTGTCTCTTTTCCGATCTTATCCTCTTTCCTTTTCTCCTCCTTTTCTTCTATATTGTTCCTTACCCTTCCTTTTCTTCTATGTCTTTTTCGTTTCCGGGGAGGCACGACCTTATCCTCTTCCCTTTTCTCCTCCTTTTCTTCTATATTGTTCCTTGCCCTTTCTTTTCTTCTGTCTTTTTCATTGATCTATATCTGCTGTAGTTTCCGGGGAGGCATTCTATCTGTTGTTTTCCCAACTGAGCCATTGTTTCTGACCCGCAGGGAACCTGGAGTGCCCTAGTCTCTTTTCCGATCTTATCCTCTTCCCTTTTCTCCTCCTTTTCTTCTATATTGTTCCTTAATTAATTACTCTTCCTTTTCTTCGATGTCTTTTTCATTGATCTATATCTGCTGTAGTTTCCGGGGAGGCATTCTATCTGTTGTTTTCCGCACTGTAGCCATATGTTTCTGACCCGCAGGGAACCTGGAGTGCCCTTGTCTCTTTGCCGATCTTATCCTCTTCCCTTTTCTCCGCCTTTTCTTCTATATTGTTCCTTACCCTTCCTTTTCTTCGATGTCTTTTTCATTGATCTATATCTGCTGTAGTTTCCGGGGAGGCATTCTATCTGTTGTTTTCCGCACTGTAGCCACATGTTTCTGACCCGCAGGGAACCTGGAGTGCCCTTGTCTCTTTTCCGATCTTATCCTCTTCCCTTTTCTCCTCCTTTTCTTCTATATTGTTCCTTAATTAATTACTCTTCCTTTTCTTCTATGTCTTTTTCATTGATCTATATCTGCTGTAGTTTCCGGGGAGGCATTCTATCTGTTGTTTTCCCTGCTGTAGCCATATGTTTCCGACCCGCAGGGAACCTGGAGTGCCCTTGTCTCTTTTCCGATCTTATCCTCTTCCCTATTCTCCTCCTTTTCTTCTATATATTGTTCCTTACCCTTCCTTTTTTTTTATGTCTTTTTCATTGATCTATATCTGCTGTAGTTTCCGGGGAGGCATTCTATCTGCTGTTTTCCCGCTATAGCCAGATGTTTCTGACCCACAGGGGACCTGGAGTGCCCTTGTCTCTTTTCCGACCTTATCCTCTTCCCCTTTATCCTCCTTTTCTTCTATGTTGTTTCTTACCCTTCCTTTTCTTCTATGTCTTTTTCATTGATCTATATCTGCTGTTGTTTCCGGGGAGGCATTCTATCTATTGTTTTCCGCACTGTAGCCACATGTTTCTGACCCGCAGGGAACCTGGAGTGCCCTAGTCTCTTTTCCGATCTTATCCTCTTCCCTTTTCTCCTCCTTTTCTTCTATATTGTTCCTTACCCTTCCTTTTCTATGTTTTTTTCATTGATCTATATCTGCTGTAGCCTTATCCTCTTCCCTTTTCTCCTCCTTTTCTTCTATATTGTTCCTTACCATTCCTTTTCTTCTATGTCTTTTTCATTGATCTATATCTGCTGTAGTTTCCGGGGAGGCATTCTATCTGTTGTTTTCCCCACTGTAGCCATATGTTTCTGACCTGCAGGGAACCTGGAGTGCCCTTGTCTCTTTTCCGACCTTATCCTCTTCCCGTTTCTCCTCCTTTTCTTCTATATTGTTCCTTACCCTTCCTTTTCTTCTATGTCTTTTTCATTGATCTATATCTGCTGTAGTTTCCGGGGAGGCATTCTATCTGTTGTTTTCCCCACTGTAGCCATATGTTTCTGACCCGCAAGGAACCTGGAGTGCCCTTGTCTCTTTTCCGATCTTATCCTCTTCCCTTTTCTCCTCCTTTTCTTCTATATTGTTCCTTACCCTTCCTTTTCTTCTATGTCTTTTTCATTGATCTATATCTGTTGTAGCCTTATCCTCTTCCCTTTTCTCCTCCTTTTCTGCTATATTGTTCCTTACCCTTCCTTTTCTTCTATTTTGTTTCATTGATCTATATCTGCTGTTGTTTCCGGGGAGGCATTCTATCTGTTGTTTTCCCCACTGTAGCCATATGTTTCTGACCCGCAGGGAACCTGGAGTGCCCTTGTCTCTTTTCCGATCTTATCCTCTTCCCTTTTCTCCTCCTTTTCTTCTGTATTGTTCCTTACCCTTCCTTTTCTTCTATGTCTTTTTCATTGATCTATATCTGCTGTAGTTTCCGGGGAGGCATTCTATCTGTTGTTTTCCCCACTGTAGCCATATGTTACTGACCCGCAGGGAACCTGGAGTGCCCTTGTCTCTTTTCCGACCTTATCCTCTTCCCTTTTCTCCTCCTTTTCTTCTATATTGTTCTTTACCCTTCCTTTTTTGTTCTATGTCTTTTTCATTGATCTATATCTGCTGTCGTTTCCGGGGAGGCATTCTATCTGTTGTTTTCCCCACTGTAGCCATATGTTTCTGACCCGCAGGGAACCTGGAGTGCCCTTGTCTCTGTTCCGACCTTATCCTCTTCCCTTTTCTCCTCCTTTTCTTCTTTATTGTTCCTTACCCTTCCGTTTCTTCTGTGTCTTTTTCATTGATCTATATCTGCTGTAGTTTCCGGGGAGGCATTCTATCTGTTGTTTTCCCTGCTGTAGCCATATGTTTCTGACCCGCAGGGAACCTGGAGTGCCCTTGTCTCTTTTCCGATCTTATCCTCTTCCCTTTTCTCTTCCTTCTCTTCTATATTGTTCCTTACCCTTCCTTTTTTGTTCTATGTCTTTTTTATTGATCTATATCTGCTGTAGTTTCCGGGGAGGCATTCTATCTGTTATTTTCTCACTGTAGCCATATGTTTCTGACCCGCAGGGAACCTGGAGTGCCCCTGTCTCTTTTCCGATCTTATCCTCTTCCCTTTTCTCCTCCTTTTCTTGTACATTGTTCCTTACCCTTCCTTTTCTTCTATGTCTTTTTCATTGATCTATATCTGCTGTAGTTTCCGGGGAGGCATTCTATCTGTTGTTTTCCCCACTGTAGCCATATGTTTCTGACCGGCAGGGAACCTGGAGTGCCCTTGCTCTTTTCCGACCTTATCCTCTTCCCTTTTCTCCTCCTTTTCTTCTTTATTGTTCCTTACCCTTCCTTTTCTTCTATGTCTTTTTCATTGATCTATATCTGCTGTAGTTTCCGGGGAGGCATTCTATCTGTTGTTTTCCCCACTGTAGCCATATGTTTCTGACCCGCAGGGAACCTGGAGTGCCCTTGTCTCTTTTCCGACCTTATCCTCTTCCCTTTTCTCCTCCTTTTCTTCTATATTGTTCCTTACCCTTCCTTTTCTTCTATGTCTTTTTCATTGATCTATATCTGCTGTAGTTTCCGGGGAGGCATTCTATCTGTTGTTTTCCCCACTGTAGCCATATGGTTCTGACCCGCAGGGAACCTGGAGTGCCCTTGTCTCTGTTCCGACCTTATCCTCTTCCCTTTTCTCCTCCTTTTCTTCTTTATTGTTCCTTACCCTTCCTTTTCTTCTATGTCTTTTTCATTGATCTATATCTGCTGTAGTTTCCGGGGAGGCATTCTATCTGCTGTTTTCCCCACTCTAGCCAGATGTTTCTGACCCGCAGGGAACCTGGAGTGCCCTTGTCTCTTTTTCGATCTTATCCTCTTCCCTTTTCTCCTCTTTTTCTTCTATTGTTCCTTACCTTTCCTTTTCTTCTATGTCTTTTTTATTGATCTATATCTGCTGTAGTTTCCGGGGAGGCATTCTATCTGCTGTTTTCCCGCTGTCGCCAGATGTTTCTGACCCGCAGGGAACCTGGAGTGCCCTTGTCTCTTTTCCGATCTTATCCTCTTCCCTTTTATCCTCCTTTTCTTCTTTATTGTTCCTTACCCTTCCTTTTCTTCTATGTCTATGTCTTTTTCATTGATCTATATCTGCTGTTGTTTCCGGGGAGGCTTTCTATCTGTTGTTTTCCGCACTGTGGCCACATGTTTCGGACCCGCAGGGAACCTGGAGTGCCCTTGTCTCTTTTCCGATCTTGTCCTCTTCCCTTTTCTCCTCCTTTTCTTCTTTATTGTTCCTTACCCTTCCTTTTCTTCTATGTGTTTCTCATTGATCTATATCTGCTGTAGTTTCCGGGGAGGCATTCTATCTGTTGTTTTCCGCACTGTAGCCATATGTTTCTGACCCGCAGGGAACCTGGAGTGCCCTTGTCTCTTTTCCGACCTTATCCTCTTCCCTTTTCTCCTCTTTTTCTGCTATCTTGTTCCTTACCC